GGAAGGTACACTGCTGCAGGTGGAAAGGGTCTTCATATAACATAGGAAATTAATAATTTAATGTATAACTTAGCTCAGATGATCTCATAAGCATGCTTGTTAATCACTGTCACTTACTGTACTCCATTGTTATCTACTGTACTCCCCAAATAAAAGCCATAAGAGCTTTGGGAGCTTTGCTACTTGCCTGAGCAAGTGGTAGCCCTCTGCTTCTCTAAACTCATCCTGCACGCCGAGATCACCTCAGTGTCACCGTTCACAAACAGAACATCAACAGACTGGGGCCGTAGATCCAACTAAACGATTTCCCACATTCTTCAGTTTTAAGGTTTCTCCCTAGAATAAATCCCAATGTGAGGAATAAGCTTTGGATGCTGATGAAAGACTTTAATGTTTACATTTGTATTGTTTCTCCCCAGTATGAATTCTGATGTCAGGTAAGGTTTGCATACTGAGTAAGCTTTGTCACATTCTTTGTATCTGCTGGGCTTCGATCCAGTAATAATTCCAAGAGGTTCTATGACATATAAATGAGGATATATACTTTGACATATGCCTGATAATTTGTAAGACCTTATTTTATTTTAAATATATTTGATTTTTTTTACAGAGAGGAAGAGAGAGAGAGAGAGTTAGAAACATCGATGAGAGAGAAACATTGATCAGCTGCCTCTTGCACACCACCCACTGGGGGTGTGCCCGCAAGCAAGGTACATGCCCTTGGCCGGAATCGAACCTAGGGTCTTTCAGTCCGCAGGCCGAAGCTCTATGCACTGAGCAAAACCGGTCAGGGCTGTAAGACCTTATTTTAACATTCTCAGTGTAGCTTCAACCATTGAAACTGAAATCCTTAGATGAAAATTTTATATTTTTGCTGTTTTTCTTTAGAATGTTTCCTAAAATGGTGAGCAGGTTAGACCTCAGTTTAAAGGGTTTCTCACATTTTCTACAGTGTAAAGCTTCCCTCCACTATAAAATCTCTGATGTTCAGTAAATTTTGAGCTGTGGGTAAAGGCTCCAGCCCAGAGTCTACATTTTTAAGGACTGTCTTTAGTATGAGGTCTCTCAGGTACAGTAAGACATGAATGCCTTTTAAAGGCTTGTCTACATTTTTCACATTCATAAGGCTCTTGCCAGTATCCATTCTGTGATGTTAGTAAGTTCTCACAGCTGGTAAAGAATTCACGACACTCCTCACATTTTTTTTAAAAAAAATATTTTATTGATTTTTTACAGAGAGGAGGGGAGAGGGACTCCGCGATGGGGGCGGGGCCGAGCCCTGCGGGCCAGGCCTGTGCAGGGACAGAGGGAGGGAGGGGCAGGAGCGAAGAGGCAGCCCTGGTTGCTTGCATCTCACTCCTATTGGGGACAGCCTTTCCTTGTTCATTGCGTTTGAATTACCCACATCATTACTCCTAATATTTGTAACAGTACCGGGAAGCTCACTTTCCCTGGTAGGTAAGCTGGTTCTGAATATGAACACCAATCACAAAGAAATGGTGGAAAAGCCCCAGGCATTTGGCAATGGAGATGGTCTCCTTGTTACAAACCACATCTGCAATCTTGGGGACTATTTCCTTCATTCCTCTATTTCCATTTACTTTACTGTGTGCTTGTTGACCTCCCCATACTTGATTTTCAAGCACCAACCATGGCAGACTCACACATGGAAAGACTACAGTTCACAAACATGTGTCACTCCAACACTTTTGTTGAGCCACAGACTTGAAGGAACACTTTTTCTTCATCTTCATAAAACACTTACTTTGTCCCTGGGTCAGATGCAGCCAGAGTACTGCACAGCTCTGCTGATCTGAGTTGCTCTGAGTCCATATATTCTTTTGAATTCTCCTGGACTATGTCAACTATCTGGGCAGGTTCCTTCTCGAACCCTGCCCACTACACTAACTGTTGGACCCGAGCCCCTCTGACTGGGGACTGGACCTTCTTGGATGCCAGGTCTTAGAGAAGCAATGAGAAGTTGTGAGTGTATACGAATCAGTCTTTATTGCAAAAGCCAGGGGCCATAAAGCCAACAGACAAAATAGCTCTTCACAGCAAAATTCCATACACGGCAGCTGCACACTGGCTGGTGAACACATACATCTGTTCCATAAAGCGGCAGCACCCTCAACAGCCTCTGTAACTAGAGCCTCACATAGCAGCGGATCTGAACTCTCTGCCCTAGCAGCTTCTCCAGCCTCTCCTGGTTCAGCAGCTTCTCCTGTCTCCCCTGCCCAATAAGCCTGGTCTCTGTAGCCTTACATAGTAACTACCTCCAAGCTTCTTTCTCAGCACACTGGCTGGTTAACATGGCAGTTATATCTGAGCTCTTAGCCTTACATCGTAGCAGTACCAGCTCTCAGCTCCAACTGAGCTCTCTAGCCGTAGTAATGTACTTTCAATAGTATTTACACAAAAGAGGCTACTTGACAACAGTGACATCCATGATTTGGCTTCAGCAAGGCATGCATGCACACTGTACCATAATTCTTGTCCCCACACCTGCTTATGGTGGCTCAGCCTTGAACATTTGATTAAGATTCCCATGTTCACAGTGACCTTAGCCGTTTGGCATACTATCAACAAGGCCTCCACGCTCTAATTAGCCTGGACTATCTGAGAACTCTGGCATGGTTCCCACACCCTGTCATCATCTTATATACATTTTCAAGTCACAAAGTCTCGACACAATCCAGTGATTTATGTATGCCCTGGTGTGTTTAATGGGAAAAATGAAAGTGAAACATATAATCGGGGTCAAAGTGTGTGGAAGAAATGGTTAGAAAAAATATATTAAGAAATTGTAATGCCACCCTGGCCGGTTTGGCTCAGTGGATAGAGTGGCGGCCTGTGGACTGAGGGGTCCCAGTGGGGAGTGTGCAGGAGGCAGCTGAATTGATGTTTCTCTCTCATCGATGTTTCTAACTCTCTATCCCTCTCCTTCTCCCTTCCTCTTGTAAAAAATCAATTAAAAAAATTGTAATACCATCCAAAATGAACCATGAAATATATTGCTTCTTACCCTAATTTGAAATCAACATTTTAATATTCTATGGAAATCTATTCTTTTTTTTTTTTTTTAATTAAATCTTTATTGTTCAGATTATTACATTTGTTCCTCTTTTTTCCCCCCCATAACTCCCCTCCTCCCAGTTCCCGCCCCACCCTCCGCCCTCACTCCCCACCCACTGTCCTCATCCATAGGTGCACGATTTTTGTCCAGTCTCTTCCCGCATCTCCCACACCCCTTTCCCCCCCAGGAATAGTCAGTCCATTCCCTTTCTATGTCCCTGATTCTATTATAATCAACAGTTCATTCTGTTCATCAGATTATTTATTCACTTGATTCTTAGATTCACTTGTTGATAGATGCATATTTGTTGTTCATAATTTGTATCTTTACCTTTTTCTTCCTCTTCCTCTTCTTAAAGGACACCTTTCAGCATTTCATATAATCCTGGTTTGGTGGTGATGAACTCCTTTAGCTTTTCCTTATCTGTGAAGCTCTTTATCTGACCTTCAATTCTGAATGATAGCTTTGCTGGATAAAGTAATCTTGGTTGTAGGTTCTTGGTATTCATTACTTTGAATATTTCTTGCCACTCCCTTCTGGCCTGCAAAGTTTCTGTTGAGAAATCAGCTGACAGTCGTATGGGTATTCCCTTGTAGGTAACTGAGTTTCTTTCTCTTGCTGTTTTTAAGATTCTCTCTTTATCTTTTGCTCTTGGCATTTTAATGATGATGTGTCTTGGTGTGGTCCTCTTTGGATTCCTTTTGTTTGGGGTTCTCCGCGCTTCTTGGACCTGTAAGTCCATTTCGTTCACCAGGTGGGGGAAGTTTTCTGTCATTATTTCTTCAAATAGGTTTTCAATATCTTGCTCTCTCTCATCTTCTGGCACCCCTATAATTCTGATGTTGGTACGCTTGAAGCTGTCCCAGAGGCTCCTTACACTATCCTCGCATTTTTGGATTCTTTTTTCATTTTGCTTTTCCGGTTGGGTGTTTTTTGCTTCCTCGCATTTCAAATCATTGACTTGATTCTTGCGCTCCTCTGGTCTGCTGTCGGGAGTCTGTATAATATTCGTTATTTCAGTCCGTGTATGCTTAATTTCTAGTTGGTTCCCCAATATAAGATCGAGGGTCTCATTAGTTTTCTTGTAGATCTCATTAAGTTTATCGGCGGCTTCTAAACAGTTCTGAAGAGACCTTAAAAGTGTGGTTCTGAACTCTATATCTTCCATTGACAATTTTGTCCTGTTTCTTTGTCTCCGCATTTTGTTATGCTTCCTTGGTGCACCCCCTAGTGGTCTTTGTTCGAAGTCTTATAGTTAAATCTTGATTGTTGTAGCTAATTCCAGGGAGGGTTTGACCTCCAGGCCAAGTGGCTATGAGAATCAGCTGTGTCAGCAGTGAGAGAACTTCTGTCCTCTAGGGAGGTGCTAATCTGGCATTTGCCTGAGGCTATCTGGCAAATGCCTGTGTGCAGGGCTTGGGCGGGGCGGGTAGCACAGGATCAACAGGGTGGGCCGGAGAGAGCAGTTATGGCGGCTCTCAGTCCTGTCCCCAGGGGCTCTGCCTCTCTGAGTCCCAGCACCCGCTGCAAAGCTCGGAGAGAAAGCTGCACTCACTCTGACCGAAGCCAGACAGTCCCGCTTCTCCTGTTTGAGTCTGGGTCCCTAAAGACTGGCCCGGATCTGGAGCTCAGATTCTTCGACTCCCTCCCGATTGAAAACGCCAACCGCGCCCTCCGCCGCCAGCCCGCTCCGCGCACTCCGCACCTCAGAATTTGACTTCAGCACTGCGCCTCCTCTGAGTGTCCATATTCGTTTCTCTTTCCTCCCAGTTGTAGGACTTCCACTCAGCCAGCGGTCCTGTGGTTCTGGGTGATGTCCCTTCCGTCTTTTAGTTTCACCCTTGAAGCAGCTGTTCAAAGCAGCAAACTCCGGCGTCAACCTATGCCGCCATCTTGGTTCTCTCCGAAATCTATTCTTTAAGTAATATAATTTAGTATTGGTTTTCTTTCATAATATAGACGATGCATTAGTTTTTAAAAACTATCCTACACAAAGTATATAAATAGCAGTTAACAATAATTTTCAACAACCATATCCTACAATAGAACTCATAAGTGCAGAAATAAAGAAATGTAATAATGTATTAGCAGGGAAAAAAATCAGGGTCTTTCCCAACCAACAATCAGCAGTTCCCAGAGTAAAGGCTATCTCACATTTTCTACATAGTAAGAATGCCACACAGAAGGCTTTGCCACATTCTCTACATTTATAAGGCTTCTCTCCACTATAAATTCTCTATGTTGAGTAAGTTTTGAGCAGTGGATAAAAGCGCTAGCACATTCTCTATTTTTGAAAGGTCTCTCTTCAGTATGAAGTCTCTCAGGTACAGTAAGATATGAATAGCTTTTGAAGGCTTTTCCACATTTTTCACAATCATAAGGCTTCTTCCCAGTATAAATTCTGCGATATTGCCAAAACCAGTTTGGCTCAGTGGATAGAGCGTTGGTCTGCGGACTGAAGGGTCCCAGGTTCGATTCCAGTCAGGGGCATATACCTTGGTTGCAGGCACATTCCCAGTAGGGAGCTGTGCAGGAGGCAGCAGATCGATGTTTCTCTCTCATCGATGTTTCCAACTCTCTATCTCTCTCCCTTCCTCTCTGTGAAAAATCAATAAAATATATTTTTAAAAAAAATTCTGTGACATTAAGTTCTTGCAGTTGGTAAAGGACTAACAACACTAACATCTGTGACACTTCTCTCAACTATGGACACTGCTGTACAGAAAGGCAGGAACACTGGTTAAAGGCTTTGCCACATTCTCTACATTTAAAGGGCTTCTCTCCAGCATGAACTCTCTGATGATAAGTAAGGTTTGTTGCCCCCCTGAAAGCTTTGCCACATTCTTCACATTTATAAGGCTTCCCTCCACTATGAATACTCTGATGAACTCTATACCTTGAGGACCTCCTGAAGGCTTTGCCACATTTGCCACATTTATAAGGTTTCTCTCCAGTATGAACTCTCTGATGATATGTAAGGGTTGAAGACCTGCTAAAGGCTTTGCCACATTCTCTACATTTGTAGGGCTTCTCTCCAGTATGAACTCTCTGATGATAAGTAAGATTTCTTGGCATACTGAAGGCTTTGCCACATTCTCTACATTTGTAGGGCTTCTCTCCAGTATGAACTCTCTGATGATAAGTAAGGTTTGTTGGCCCACTGAAGGCTTTGCCACAGTCTTTACATTTATAAGGCTTCTGTCCAGTATGAACTTTCTGATGATAAGTAAGGGATGATGCTACACGGAAAGTTTTGCCACAATCTGCACATTTAAAAGGCTTCTCTCCAGTATGAAGTCTCTGATGAGAAGTAAGAGATGAGGACCTGCTAAAGGCTTTGCCACATTTGCCACATTTATAAGGTTTCTCTCCAGTATGAACTCTCTGATGATATGTAAGGGTTGAGGACTTGCTAAAGGCTTTGCCACATTCTCTACATTTGTAGGGCTTCTCTCCAGTGTGAACTCTCTGATGATAAGTAAGGTTTGTTTGCCCACGGAAGGCTTTGCCACATTCTTCACATTTATAAGGCTTCTCTCCAGTGTGAATTCTCTGATGGTAAGTAAGGTCTGTTTGCCCACGGAAGGCTTTGCCACATTCTTCACATTTATAAGGATTGTCTACAGTATGAACTTTCTGATGATAAGTAAGGTCTGATGCTACACGGAAAGTTTTGCCACAATCTGCACATTTAAAAGGCTTCTCTCCAGTATGAACTCTCTGATGATAAGTAAGAGATGAGGACCTGCTAAAGGCTTTGCCACATTCTCTACATTTGTAGGGCTTCTCTCCAGTATGAACTCTCTGATGACAAGTAAGGTTTGTTGCGGTACGGAAGGCTTTGCCACATTCTCTACATTTATGGGGCTTTTCTCCAGTATGAACTCTCTGATGGCGATTAAAACTTGAGGTATTACTGAATCCTTTGCCACATTCTCCACATTTATAAGGCTTCGCTCCGGTATGCTCTCTCTGATGATAAGTAAGAGATGAGGTGTTGCAAAAAGCTTTGCCACATTCTCTAAATTTATAGGGCTTTTTTCAAGTATGAATTCCCTCAAGTTCACACAGATTTGAAAGAAAATTAAATGCTTTACTACATTCTTTTAAAAAATATATATTTTATTGATTTTTTACGGAGAGGAAGGGAGAGGGATAGAGAGTTAGAAACATCAATGAGAGAGAAACATTCATCAGCTGCCTTCTGCACGCCCCCTACTGGGGATGTGCCCGCAAACAAGGTACACGCGCTTGCCTTGAATCGAACCCGGGACCCTTCAGTCCGTAGGCCGACGCTATCCACTGAGCCAAAGGGGTCAGGGCGCTTTACCACATTCTTTATATGGATAATGTTTTTCTCCAGTAGGGATTTTCTTAAATTTATTTAGACTGAATATTTGACTGAAAACTCTCTCATATGGGTTAAATTTGTAACCTTTCCCTATGGTATGAATATTATCTTGTTCAGTATGATTTGAAGATTGCTTAAATGATTTGTCATAGCCGAAGCCGGTTTGGCTCAGTGGATAGAGCGTCGGCCTGCGGACTGAAGGGTCCCGGGTTCGATTCCGGTCGGGGGCATGTACCTGGGTTGCGGGCACTTCCCCAGTGGAAAATGTGCAGGAGGCAGCTGATCGATGTTTCTCTCTCATCGATGTTTCTGACTCTCTGTCTCTCTCCCTTCCTCTCTGTAAAAAATCAATAAAATATATTTTAAAAAAAAATGATTTGTCATATTTAATTTGTTTCTTTGTCTTCCCTACAGGATGAATAAACTGATGTATATTTAGATTTGACATTGGGTCAAAGCCTTTTCCACCTTTATAACAGTTTTCTGGAGGCTGAATTTTCTGATGTTTATTAGGATTTGACTTGTGGTTAAAATTTTTCCAATATTCCTTGCACTGGTAACCTCTATCTTCAATACATGTATTCTGGTAATCATTGAAGGTGGAAAGGCATTTAGTGAAAGCTATTATTTCATTATACATGTATACTTTTTTCAAATAACTATTTTGTGGTAACTATTAAACCATGATGGTATAAAAAAACACACACACATTCCAGCCCTAGCCTGTTTGGTTCAATGGATAGACCTGCAGATTAAAGGGTCCCGAGTTCAATTCTGATCAAGGGCACGTACCTCAGTTGCAAGCTCCTCCCAGGCCCGAGCCCTGTTTGGGGCACATGCAGAAGGCAACCAATTGATGTGTTTCTCTCAAATCGATATTTCTCTATGTCTTTCTTTCCTGCTCTCTAAAAATCAAGGGAAAAATATCCTTAGGTAAGGATTCAAAACAAAACAGAAAAAAAATTTTAAAAACAACCATCCTGCCAGGCCCATGTGGCTTGGTGATTAAGTGCTGACCTATAAACCAGGAAGTCATGGTGCGATTCTCAGTCAGGCATATACCTGGGTCAGGGACTGATTCCCCAGTGGGGGGCATCCAGCAAGCAGCTGATCATCGATTCTCTCACGTCATTGATGCTTCTATGTCACTCTCTCTCCCTTCTTCTCTGAAATCAATTAAAATAAAATGAAATGAAATAAAAAATACACTGCTGCCTGGCTGGTGTGGCTCATTGAGTGAGTGTCAACCCATGAACTAGGAGGTCACAATTCAATTCCCCATCAGGGCACATGGCTGGGTTGGGAGCTCAATCCCCAATGGGGGGCAGGCAGCAGGCAGGCAATGAATGATTCTCTTATTGATGTTTCTATCTCTCTTTTCCTCTCTCTGAAATCAATAAAGACTTTTTTTTAATAAAACACTCCTAAGTTTCTGAAAAGTATTGACATGTTTCAAAAACATTAATCAATGGAAGCATAATGATACATTTAATGAAGAAACCACCAAACTGATTGCATTTAAACATTATCTGTGCATTATAAATCACTAAATTCTATAAGTGACTTATTGAAAGTTTAATCCAAGACTACACTGTAAACAATTTTTATAATTATTTACAGTATGGATTATGTGAGATTCTAGATTTTCCCTATTTACGTTCCAAGAATGTATAAGATAAAAAAAAATTGCACTTGGTTTTCACATTTAGAAACATTTCACATTTAGAAAAATTTCACATTTATTTCACATTGATCTACAGCTATAACTAATGGAAATTAGGAGTATTATCAAATGTGTGATATCTTTGACTTCCTTAAATAACAAGATTATTATGAATAACTGTCCCAGGTTACTTCTGGCAATATTAACATACTTTCTTCTCATCTTACATTTTTCCTCTAATTCCAAGGCTTTCACTAACTGTACATTATCAAAGCCATACCTTCCATTATCTTACCAGTATTATTTTAGGGAATAAATCTTCCATTTCTGCCTTTTGTAGCATGGCCTGTTTGTCTTCAGATAAGGTAGCTGGAAGATATGATACAAAGTTTCCCAGTTTTGATATTAAACTTACTAGCAATTACTGACCAAATTACTTTTTTAAAAAATATACAACCCTAGCTGGCTTGGCTCAGTGGATAAAGCATCAGTCTGCAGACTGAGGGGTCCCAGGTTTGACCCCGACCAAGGGCACATGCCTGGGTTGCAGGCTTGATCCCCAGTAGGGGGCGTGCAGGAGGCAGCCGATCAGTGATTCTCTCTCATCATTGATGTTTCTATCTCTCTATCTTTCTCCCTTCCTCTCTGAAATCAATAAAGAAATATATTTTTTTAAAAAAAATACACACACACACACACACACACACACACATCCCAGCCGGTATATCTCAATGGTTGAGCATCGACCTATGAACCAGGAGGTCACGGTTCGATTCCCAGTCAGGGCATATGCCCAGGTTGTGGGCTTAATCCCCAGTGTGGGGTGTGCAGGAGGCACTGATCAATGATTCTCTCTCATCACTGATGTTTCAATGATGAGAGAGAATATATATTGCATATATTCTTTGCATATGCAATAAAGAATATGCATATACTTTATTGCATATACATATGCAATAAAGTATATGCATATTCTTTTTGATTTCAGAGAGGAAGGGAGAAAGAGAGATAGAAGCATCAATGATGAGAATCATTGACCAGCAATCCAGATGTGTGCTTTTGACAAGGGCCACGAAGTTTCAATCACACTGTACGTGCATGCCCGCACGTGGTACTTTGTGGAAGAGCCACACTCAAGGGGCCAAGGAGCCGCATGTGGCTCGCGAGCCGCGGTTTGCCAACCACGGGTCTAGACAACATGTAAAAATTCAAACACTGATTTCCTACTTCACATGCATCACAAATCTTTTCTTTTGTACCAGAAAACCCCCAATTTGTACCTTGAGAGCAAGAATCAGAAAATCTACCATAGAAAGCAGAATTCCCCAGAGATGTTAAAATAATAAAGAAAACAAAACTATGTGGGTGGAGTAGGGACTCAGAAAGGAAGTTATCCTCACCCAGGGACACCAGGTTGCTGTAGTTCTCCAACATCACATCCAGGTACAATTTCTGTTGAACTGGGCCCAGGCATTCCCACTCCTCCTGAGAGAAATCTATGGCCACATCCCTGAAGGACAACTGTCCCTGAAAGAAAAGACACATTTACCAAGAGGCCACCAGAAGAGTTCATAATGTCACCCAACACGAAAACAGTGTTAGGAGAAGCTGTTTTGACCTAGGAGAGTATCCTGATTTACCCAATAAGATCACTTTGACCCAGTAACATTCTATGATTTGTTTTCTAACACTGACAAATGTGGATGACAGATGTCCACAAATTCACTGCAGAGGTTTTATTTTTCAGGAAAATAAACTTTAAAATTAAGGCATTAACACAGGCATAGGGATTTCTGAGAGCTGTACTTGAATTGTTCAGGGTCAGTGGTGTATATTCCTCAGCTGGAGATGTCATGGTGAGATGGAAGTGTAAGCACTTCTTCAAGGGCAACACAGATGACAACAAACTGCACTTTTCTAAAAACACAGGTTCTGATCCGGGTTCTCAGATGGGGCCTGTGTTTCTACATGTGTAATAAGCTCACTTTTTACTTATGATGACAATGTCTGTGGTCCATGTGCTATATTTCTGAATAGAACAGAACAGAAAAGAAAGGACAAAGTTCATACACAATTTTGAACTGAAAGAGTATTTTTATGGAATTTTAGTTCTCTTAAAATAGGAGACATTGGAACCATAATCCTATTTAGAATTTACTCTGAGTAATTTTATTTTATTTTATTTTTTTTATTTATTTATTTTTTTTATTTTATTGATTTTTTACAGAGAGGAAGGGAGAGAGATAGAGAGTCAGAAACATCGATGAGAGAGAAACATCGATCAGCCGCCTCCTGCACATCCCCCACTGGGGATGTGCCCGCAACCCAGGCACATGCCCTTGACCGGAATCGAACCTGGGACCTTTCAGTCCGCAGGCCGACGCTCTATCCACTGAGCCAAACCGGTTTCGGCTGAGTAATTTTAGAACAAGATTATTCCACCTTTGATATGAGATTACTCTGTGAAATATATAATAAAAAAGTAAACCTTCAATTTTATCCCAAACTCGATCTACAATTAAAAAAAACAAACAACCACAGGTCAATGCCCATAAAGAAACCTCATGAATATTCACAGCAGTTTCTGCAACTGAGAACAATAAAGACAGCTTAAGCAAATAAGAAAAAATATCTCAAATAATGTTACCATTTTATATAAGGACAGACACACGTATGTGAACTATGTACAATATAAAAGCGATAGAAAACAGAATTGTCAGGTCAGTGAAATCAAGATCATTTTGTGATTCCATTCCATAAATTTCATGAATCTATTTATTAATGATACCCCTCATCTACAATAATAAAAGCGTAATATGCTAATTAGACAGGATGTCCTTCTGGACAACCTTCCAGATGAAGCCGGGGCTGTAAGGGAAGTCTGGGTCCCGGGTGCCAGTGGCCGGAAGGAAGCCTAGGTCCCAGGTGCCAGAGGGAAGCCTGGGTCCTGGAGGGAAGCTGGTGACAGCAGCCGGGGGAAGGAAGGCCTACTCTTGCATGAATTTCATGAATCAGGCCTCTAGTGTAGTATAAATACAATAAGGAGAGAAACTCACATAATGATGGAAAACAAATTAGACCTATTATTTCTTAGATACTCATTTATTTAAAAATTTTTGTGTATCGTTAGTTAACAACTATAATCATATAAATTTAACTAAATTGAAGATGCATTAATATGATTTTTGTAAACTTTCCAAAAAATAAAAAAAAAGTGATAATGTAGAGTATGTCCATGACATGAGTGTAGGATATAATGAAAACTGCCCTAGCCGGTTTGGCTCAGTGGACAGAGCGTCAGCCTGCGGACTGAAGGGTCCCGGGTTCGATTCCAGTCAAGGGCACATGCCTGAGTTGTGGGCTGGATCCCCAGTGGGGGACGTGCAGGAGGCAGCTGAATGGTGATTCTCTCTCATCATTGATGTTTCTGTCTCTCCTTCTCCCTTCCTCACTGAAATCAATAAAAATATATTTGGGGGGGGGGGGGGTAGAATATGATGAAAATTTACAGGAACAAGTCCTGATTGGTTAAACCTCCCATGTCAAAAGCCAATGATCTGTAGGAAATAGAAGTAGAGCATTTATTTTTCAAAGCAAACAGAGGTAAAAAGAAGAGGTGAGTTTCCAGATGAAATATGATGGTTTTTGCACATCCCTCACTAAGTCCCTACCAAGCCCTTGTTACTGATAAAGGGAGACTATTAACTCGACAGTGAGGGGAGCACCTCTGCCATGGTGGACTGGAACAATGGGTATTAGGTGACTGAGGCACTCGGAAGGACAAGACATCACGGCTGTGACATCACTGGCAAAAATATATCAATAAAAAAATCATTATGTGAAAATGATTACAAACAACATTAATTTTTGCAAGTGTCAATCCACGTGTATCTCTCATATTCTGTAAGCTATCAGCACATTTAAATAGCAAGACTTTTGTACTAATCTAGTGAGCAAGTCTTTTCTATTTACTCCTCTTTTCAGATTTTTCTGAGTGATTCTGAGCTGTAAAATGTGCATTTTCTTACCCCTGATCTACAGAGCTGATGCTGCAGCCATTTGAACCTAAAAACTTCATTTCCCTTCTTCACCGATATTAGAGCCCCTGGCCCCATCCCAGTAGGGATGTTAGACATGGCTGCCTCCCAAGATTAATCTGTCAGAGAGGGATGTTTTCAGTAGCTGAAAGTCATTAAAGGTGGGAAAGCTTCCTGACCTGGTGGAGCCTGCATAGCATGAATGCACAGAAGGCACTGGGATAAAGGACAAAACTATATAAACTGCTGACCTTGACTATCGTAAGAAAAACAGTAATTAAATAAGTACATAAAGGAAAAGAGCATGAATAGCACCAACATCGAAAGTGGCAGGTTCTAAATCCAGAGATGTCAGAAGAAAAGCAAACACAGCCTGTGACCCAGGACACATCTTTTACCTGACAAGCAGCCATTTGGTCCTGGTCCTGATCAGGGTCTGGGTTGTCTTCTCAGGCGAGGGTATGTTGAGGAGTCACAGAATGTGCCTTCAAAGACGTCAGCACAGCGTCTCAATCAGCTCACGCGACACTCACAGTCAGAAGGACCTGGAAATGAGGGAAAGGCCACCCCCTCCTGTCCATTCTCATAGGAGTGAGGAACAATGAGCTCCTACATGGAGACACACTGTGAGTTTTTGAGTGTGTGTCTTCATGTGTCTCTCCTTCCAAAGACATCCACAAACTCCTACAGAAATGAGAACGTGAGCTGCTGTCCTGAACCCCCAAACTAAACAGAGCACCCTCCTTACCTCCCCTGAACAAAGCCTGCTCCCCACTCTCACAAAGGCATCCTGCAACCCTCCTGCTATCCCTGTCCTCACCTTCCAATCACCTGGAGGCACCTCAGTAACCAATGATGCCCCACTCAGAGCATCTGTCCACCTCCACGGGGGAAAGTGCCCCTGCTGTCATTTCTTTTTTTTTTTTTTTTTTTTAAATATATTTTATTGATTTTTTACAGAGAGGAAGGGAGAGAGATAGAGAGTTAGAAACATCGATGAGAGAGAAACATCGACCAGCTGCCTCCTGCACATCTCCCACTGGGGATGTGCCCGCAACCCAGGTACATGCCCCTGACCGGAATCGAACCTGGGACCCTTCAGTCCGCAGGCCGACGCTCTATCCACTGAGCCAAACCGGTTTCGGCTGTCATTTCTTTTTTAAAAAAAATATATTTTTATTGATTTCAGACAGGAAAGAAGAGGGAGAGGAGATAGAAGCATCAATGAGAGAGTAGCATCGATCTAGAGGGGGATCAAGCCCGAAACCTGGGCATGTGCCTTGACCAGGAATCAAACCATGACCTCCTGGTTCCCAGGCCCATGCTCAATCACTGACCCTTCCCGCAAGGCCTGATGTCATTTCTTAAAACTCCTCAGGTGATCTGAGAAAAAGCCAAAAAATTTATCTCAGCATGTTTTTAAAATATAAATTAAGTATCAGACATAGAAAAACTATATCCATGGAAGAGAAAAATAAAAAACAACAAAAGAAAAAACACAACAAGAAACCTAGGCTTCTAATAGTCCTTGAAAAAGCATCCTGTGGTGATAGACTCAAGTCACCCCCTTCTTGCCATCCCAGGAAATGACAAGCGACCCATGCCCTACAGACAAGTCTCTCCTCTCTGAGTGAATAAGGGTTGCAACTGGAATCAAACAGTTATAAAATTCCCAAGCCTTATAAACTGGATTTGTAATTCTCAATCAAATCTGTATGACTAAAACAATTCGGCTGTTAAATATATAAAGCCACAAGCCAGTATAGTAGGTCCTCGGGTTACGTTGGGGAGAAGAAACGCGATTTTCGCCATAAGTCGGAACCCACTTACATAATCACCTAGGAGGGGGGTGCGGACCCCCAGGCCGGGAGCCATCCGGGCTCTTTGGGCGGAAAGCGCCGGGCAGGGGAGGGGCGCAGAGGGCGGGAACCCCCTGACCCAGACTCTCAGCCCCGCGGGGAGCACCGGCGGCCCCGGGAACGGTTTTCAGCGGGAAAACCGCGCGGCAGGCGGTGGCCACAGCCACAGGCGGAGAGACCCCGGGCCGGGGCCTCCGTTTCCTCCCAAAGGCACGTGGCGCCCGCACCGCGCAGCCTCCCGGGACGCGGACTCACCGCTGAGAGAGGCTCCGGGGCGGGGACCCCAACAAGGACTCCAGCGCCGGCAGCGCCCTCAGCCTTCCCTGCGGGGAGGGGGACGGGGAGCGTCAGCTTTAAAGACAAACACCCTCCTCAGGGGGAACCGCCACCTTCCCCTCCACGGCCGCTTCCGTCTGCAAGGAACTGCGCATGCGCCTCCCTGCGCGGTGGGCGGGGCCAGAGCCTGAGCTGAGCGGCTCCGCGATGGGGGCGGGGCCGAGCCCGGCGGCCAGGCCTGTGCAGGGACAGAGGGAGGGAGGGCGGGGCAGGAGCGAGGATGCAGCCCTGGTTCCCTGCACCTACTTCCCATTGGTGACACAGCCTTTCCTGTCCAATTTCTTTGAATTAAGCGCATTATTACTCCTAATATTTGTAACATTGCTTTCTACAATTAACATTATGGGGGCCCTCCATGGATTCAGTTTTGGATAAGGTCTTTGCTACACACATTACATCTGTAAGATTTCTCTTACATGTATATTGACTGATGGTTAGTAATGCTTAACTCAAGGTTAAATATATTGCCCAAACCATTATACTTTAACACCATCCCCAGTATGAATTTCTGATCCTGTGTTCATCCTGCCTAAAGTCCTTCCAAATTCACTGTAATTTTTCTCTAATGAATATAACTGTGATATTTATTTATCAATGAGCAATAGATAAAAACTTTATCATTTTTATTGCAACCCTGCTTTTCAACTAGGAAGGATTCTTTCCAGTTGTGAAAACAATTTTAATAAATTTCTTTTTTTAAAAAAAAATATTTTATTGATTTTTTACAGAGAGGAAAGGAGAGAGAGAGAGTTAGAAACATCGATGAGAGAGAAACATCGATCAGCTGCCTCCTGCACACCCCCCACTGGGGATGTGCCCGCAACCAAGGCACAGGCCCTTGACCGGAATCGAACCTGGAACCTTTCAGTCCTCAGGCCGACACTCTATCCACTGAGCCAAACCGGTCCCAACTTTAATAAATTTCTTAACTTGGTTACACTTCTAATATGTATCCTGTTTTAAGCTCCATGGTTAACCCTAATGTAATTAAAAGCTTAATTCCAATTCTTTTATCAAATCATTCCATGCATTGGTTTCACGAAGATATTTTATTACTAAAGGAAATACAGGAAATGACAACATTACACACAATGATATGATTGCTGCTGGAGGGCATTGGCAGAAAGCATTCAAGGTCCTCAGCATGGGAGGAAGATACAAATACTAAAGCATAATCATTCTTTTATTTTTTAAAATATATATTTTTTATTGATTTTTTACAGAGAGGAAGGGAGAGGGATAGAGAGTTAGAAACATCAATCAGCTGCCTCCTGCATGCCCCTACTGGGAATGTGCCCCCGCAACCAAGGTACATGCCCTTGACCAGAATCGAACCCGGGACCCTTCAGTCCGCAGGCGGACGCTCAAGCCACTGAGCCAAACCAGTTAGGGCCACTCTTTTATTTTTTCTTTTTTTTTTTTTTTCTTTTTTTTTTTTTTTTTTTATCTTTTTTTTTAGCCCCTAATATAAACATCACATCTCGATGGTGGCGACTCTTTTATTTTTTATTGACTTTTTACAGAGAGGATGGGAGAAGGATAAAGAGTTAGAAACAGCCAAAACCGGTTTGGCTCAGTGGATAGAGCGTCGGCCTGCGGACTGAAAGGTCCCAGGTTCGATTCCGGTCAAGGGCATGTACCTGAGTTGCGGGCATATCCCCAGTGGGAGATGTGCAGGAGGCAGCTGATCGATGTTTCTCTCTCATCGATGTTTCTAGCTCTCTGTCTCTCTCCCTTCCTCTCTGTAAAAAATCAATGAAATATATTAAAAAAAAAAAAAAAAAAAAAAGAGTTAGAAACATCATGGATCAGCTGCCTCAAGCAAACCCCCCCACTGGGGGGATAACCAGTATCCAAACTGGTTAGGGCAGCATAATCAATCTTAATACAATATATAATTGAATTATATCGTAAGCCCTGGCTTGGTATCTCAGTTGGTTAGAGCATCGTCTGGATACACCAATATTGTGGGTTCGATCTATGGTCAGGGCACATACAGGAATCAATCAATGAATGCATAAATGAGTGGAACAAGAAATTGATGTTTTTCTCGCTCTCTTTCTCAAGTATATAAATAAAAATTTAAAAAATTCTAAATGTGGCCTAGCTGATTTGGCTCAATGAATAGAGCATTGGCCTGCAGACTGAAGGGTCCCAGGTTTGATTCCAGTCAAGGGCACATGCCTGGGTTACGGCCTTGATCCCCAGTCGGGGGCGTGCAGAAGGCAGCCGGTCAATGGTTCTCTCTTATCATTGATGTTTCTATCTCTCTATCCCTCTCCCTTCCTCTCTGAAATCAATAAAAATATATTTAAAAGTGAATAAATAGCCGAATCCGGTTTGGCTCAGTGGATAGAGCATCGGCCTGCGGACTGAAGGGTCCCAGGTTCGATTCCGGTCAAGGGCATGTACCTGGGTTGTGGGCACATCCCCAGTAGGGAGTGTGCAGGAGGCAGCTGATCGATGTTTCTCTCTCATCGATGTTGCTAACTCTCTATCTCTCTCCCTTCCTCTCTGTAAAAAATCAATAAAATATATATATTTAAAAAATAAATAAATAAATAAAAGTGAATAAATAAATATAAAAACATGTAGACTATAGTTGTAGATTAATGTAATATTGCTTTATGTCGGCAACATTACTATAGTTTCTTTGCTAATATATGGTCTATTAACTAAAATTTGTTAAAAATATTAGTGAAATAATAGCAATTACCTCAAATTAATTAGAAGCAAATCTTCATTAAAAGTGTTTTAAACCCTAGCTGGCATGGCTCAGTGGGTAGAGAGTCAGCCTGCGGACTCAAGGGTCCTGGGTTCAATTCCGGTCAAGAGCATATGCAACGGGTTGCGGGCTTGATCCCCAGTGGGGAGCATGCAGGAGGCAGCCGATCGGTGATTCTCTCTCATCATTGATGTTTCTATCTCTCTCTCCCTCTCCCTTCCTCTCTGAAATCAATAAAAATATTTTTTAAAGTGTTTTAAAATTAACAGGATGTTCCCCAGCCATATTTATGTTTCATAAGATTTAAGCTTTAGTTATATGTTACATAGAGCCTTTTTTTAAAAATATATATTTTATTGATTTTTTACAGAGAGGAAGGGAGAGAGATAGTTAGAAACATCAATGAGAAGGAAACATTGATTAGCTGCCTCCTGCACACCCCCCACTGGGGATGTGCCCACAACCAAGGTAAAGCAATCGAACCTGGGACCTTTCAGTCCGCAGGCCGACGCTCTACCCACTGAGCCAAACCAGTTACGGCTACATAGAGCCTTTTGATGTTCATTACCTGATATTTGCTAAAGTTTGAACATCATTAGTCATGTAAGTTGTAAGGTGTCATTCCAAAGTTAATATTGTGATGGTCCCTAAAGGATTGAATTTTGGATAAGAACTCTGCCACACTGTAGATGAAAATGGGGGTTCTATGAAAAATAACATCACAGGGTGATGGGATCATAAACTCGTGACTGGGCAATACAATTCTTTACTAACAGGCTTATCTTTGCCTTAAATAAGCACTGTGCATTATTTCTGTACATCTAGGTTAACACAACTAGGTTAACACAACTTTGCACATAAACTTAAATACCCTCTAATGCAAACTCCATGTGACCACTCCCAAAAGAGCACATAGCTTTAATTATCCTGTAATCCCATCCTGGTATTACTCCCTCCACCTTCAAGTAAGTAATCTTCCTAACCTTCCCTCTGTAACTGAAATCCAAGGATCTGCTGCCTGCAGCCAGGAAAGCCAAACTCCTGACATAGATGCTGGTGAGAAAGATAAGAGGTTTATTTGAATGCTGGCAACTGGGGGACTTCTGTTGCAAAGCCCATCTCAACATCTCAATGCAGGCAGAGGTTTTTGTAAGGAGGGAGAGGGAAAGAAAAACAAAGAAATAAAAGTTAGGGGGTTAAAAAGTTCTCTCTGTGTAGGCCAGCACTGTCCATTCCAATAAGGACCGCAAAACTTGTCAAGTGATCGTCTAGTGTGCGTCATCAGAGTCTTTGTCATCCTGGTTTTATGGTTGAAGGTCAGCACATTTCCCAGAGCTGAAATGACTGAAGGTCAGAGTCTGTGTCTCTATCATCTGAAGTTAGTTCTTAGGATTCCAATACAAACATTTGTATTAGGCAGAACCAGCCTTTACAAAAACAATGTCAAAAGACAGGTGGGGTAGGTTACAGTTCCCACTTTTATACCTCCCTAATCTCAGATGAATAAAAAAAAAAAACAAACCTGCAAACTGTTATACTTTTTTTGATTTCTCTTTGGGATTTATTTACAATCTATAATAAAAGCATAATATGCTAATTAGACCAGATGTCCTCTGGGACAAAGCCCAGAATGCAAGGGAGGGATCCAGGCAGCACCCCAGCTGCAAAGGCCTACTCTTGCACAAATTTCATGCATTGGGCCTCGAGTTGTTTAATAATGTTGTTACTAGACAGAAACCAGAATTGGGGCAAGTCTACCTCTGGCAGACTGTAGAATGTGGGTACTTGGCTTTGTGCAGGAAAGATGTCAGGAGTTCAGGTGATTTTGAGAGTGTTTATTAAAGCTGGGGACAGTGAAAACAAGGAAAAAGCAAGAGGAGAGACTAGGTGGGGCTGCTTTGGTTCTTCAGAAATATTCTAGGAAAGAAATGAGCCTAAGCAGGGCTGCTGTACTGGAAAGTCAGAGAAAATAGGGCCTTGGAGACAGTTTCAGGAGGTAAGGCTGGGATAAGCTGCCACTGCCCATTGCTCCCCTGGCCAAATATCTCATGGAGTCCCTTAGAGTTTAGGTGATGCATACCTGTAGGGGAAAAAGAGGTAGCAGGAAAAGGCAGGGGCATGATCTGGGGAGAGTGTGTTGTGTCCTTCATTTTGAGGGTTTTAAAGCCTGGGAGTTCTTAGGGAAGGATTTCAATAGTCTGTTCATCAGCTTTTCCAGGTGTTTTGGAGGGATGGGGCTTGGTGGTAGTTTCCATGGAGATGTATTCACATACCATAAATTTTGTAGTGCACAGTTCAGTGGCTTTTAGTATATTTACAAAGTTGTGCAAACATCTCCACCAATTCCAGGACATTTCATCACCCGA